CCCCCCCCAGGTCCCACTGTCCCCCCCAGGTCCCACTGTCCCCTCCAGGTCCCACTGTCCCCCCCCTGCTCCCAGTGCCCCCCATCCAGGCCCTTCTGTCTCCTCTCAGGTCCCAGTGCCCATCACACACCCCACTGTCCCCCCCAGTCCCTCCCAGGTTCCCGTTCCCCCCCCCTCACCCCAAATCCCCCGCGGGGCCCCCCCGCCGCCCCCCCCACCTTGTGTCGGGTGAGAGCCCCCACGATGAGGGGACAGACCATCCCCGAGAGGGTCCCCACGCCGTTGGAGAGCCCCATGAGGACGCTGGCGTAGCGGGGGGCGATGTCCAGGTGGTTCACGTTGAACCCTGAGGGGACGGGGGGGGTCAGGACACACCCCCTCGTGTGTGTTTGTGTCCCCCCTGCCCCGTGAGCCCCCCCCGTGCCCACCGGAGATGGCGAAGCCGCTGAAGCCCACGGCGAGCACGAGGAAGGAGATGGCGACGGCGCGGGAGTGCGAGTACCCGACCACCAGCAGCAGCGTGGCCTCCATCCCGAACCCTGCGGCGGGGAGGGGTCACCCCGGACACCCCCCCGGCCCCCGGGACCCCCCACAGCCCCGGAGTGCCCCCAGGTGTCCCCAGACCACCCTTGGGACCCTCCCATTGTCCCCATTTGTCCCTTCACATCACCCTCCCTGACCCCTCTATGTCCCCACTGTGTCCCCCCCACATCCCTCTCCCTGTCCCCACTGTGTCCCCCTCAATAATCCCCCCAAGTCCCCCTCTCTGTTCCCACCATGTCCCCCCTCTGTCCCCCCACCTCGTCTCTCCCCTTCCCTCACCCCCAAAATCGCCCTGTTCCGCCCCATTTCGCCCCCTCCAGCCCCCCCCCACGCCGTGCCCCCCCCTCACCCCCGCAGTTCATCATCTTCCTGACGTTGGTGGTCGACATGAGCCCCCGGGAGCGCAGGAAGTCGGCGATTTGGCCCCCGATGGGCACCACGATGGTCATCACCAGGTGGGGCAGCGCCGAGAGCAGCCCCACCTGCCCCAGGGCCGTCAGTGGGGGCAGTCTGGGGGGTCCCGCCCGGGGCAGGGGGGGAGCTGGGGAGGGGGGAGGGGGTTGGGGGTCCCACCTTGCTGATCTCGAAGCCGAAGACCTCCTCGAAGTAGGCGGGCTGGCTGATGAGCAGCAGGTAGAAGGTCCAGGAGCGGCAGAAGTTGGCCACGATGATGGCGTAGACGGGCATGGAGGTGAAGAACTGGCGCCAGGGGGTGGCCAGCTGGGCAAAGGGGGGGGGGG